ATTTTCCTACATTCATGGTTCTCACATTCCATGTCCCAATCACCAGTGTCTGCTTATAGCTGTTCCTCTCCCTTTGTATTTCCATACTTGAAAACTCAACCTCCTTTGCCGTTTCTGTTATCTAAATGTGTTCTGTTGTACATAGGGTTTTCAGAGGCCTGCTATTTCAGAAGTGCATGGCCAATCATTCTTCCTAGTCTGTCTTAATGTGAATGCTCAGATTTAGAGAAGTATCAGATAGACCAGCATGTTAAAGGTATATCCCTTAGTATAAAGGTATGATCCCAGAGGTACGTGGTTCAAGTCCACCAGATGCTCTGCTAGAAGAGGAGGGGCAATCTCCTCCTGTACCTGTCAGATCCAATTTGATGGTACACGTGTACACACACACACACACACACACACACACACACACTAGAAATTTCTCCCTCTGGATTCTTCAGAAAGAGAACAACTAGCTGTTACAGTAAGCAAAGCTCCTACAAATAGGAGCAACAATATCCAATTTTCCCTTAGGTTAAAATCATTGTCATATGACAGAGTCAGTTTTGCAGCTATCACACCTTTGGTCTTGAGATGATTAAAATCTTACCTTGGTTTCATCTGGTGTTGTGAGGCAGGCAGGTAAGAATACAGGCTTTCTGATAGGAGATCTGGGAACAAATGAGGATTTGTCTACGGTTGAAGTAGGTCCAGATGTCTCAGAGATCGACAAGCTGTCTTGTGAATGAGGTAAGACATGATCTACTACCCATCCAGAGTAAACAGATAGCTTGGGAAGAGACATACATTCTTCTAAAATATCCTACAGAGAAAAAAAAGAGTTTAGCCCAATCTGCCTTACTAAAGGCCTAAATAAATACCAAAAATCTAAGAAAATCATAAAGTAAATGACAGGTCTGCTTACAACTGTTCCTCGTTGTGTTTCCATATTTAAGGGCTCAGCCTCAGATCCCATATCTGCTAGTTTAAGTTGCTGTGACTATATGCAACTCAACAGCACATAACAACAACAACAACATGACAGGTCTCTAGTACCATCTTAAAAAAAAAAATCACCAGGAGTGGAGCAAGTCCTTTTAGATCAGGGCTGCTGCACCAGGAAGCTTTTTTACATTAATGCAGGACAAGACACATGGAAATCTCCAAGGAATGCTAGGTCCAGGAAGCTTTTTTACATTAATGCAGGACAAGACACATGGAAATCTCCAAGGAATGCTAGGTCTACAGATGTTAAATGGCTCTCTTCCAGCTACTTTGGCCAAGTGGCTATCTTTTAAATTTCCTGGCACAGACTGGTGAGTCCATCCAGGGCTTCATCCATTTGTTAAAACTTGCCAGTTGGATACTAGCAATGCCTGGGGACTTTTTTTTTTTTGCAATCCATTGCCTTCAATGCAACTTGAACTTCCTTCTTCAGTACCATTGGTTCTTCATCAGATGCTACCTTCTGGGTTCCATGTCAGCCAATTCTCTTTGGACACTGCCTCTTTGTATTCCCTCCATATTCTTTTGATGCTTTCTGGATCATTCTAGATTTTGCCTATAGCATCCGTCAGCATTTCAACTTGAGGTCTGTTTTCAGTTCTTTCAGCTTAAGAAATGCCAAATGAGTTCTTCTGTTTGAAAGGTTTCTAATTCAGCTCTTCTGTGCTCTTCATAATAATAATAATCACCTTGTATTTTTTAAACTTTTTATAATTATTAATTTTGATGAAACTTACAGAGATTTTAGATTTCCATTCATTCATTGTTGTACTTTTCTCGCTGCCAACCCCGCCCTCACATCTTGTACTCTTAAACTCCCCTTTGAAATCTTCTGCTCATCTCTTTTACTTTGGCACTTCTTCCCTTTGTTTTGAATTCTTGACACTTAGTGCAATTTTCATAGTCTCTTCTGACATCCATTTTGGTTTTTTCTTTCTCCCCTGTCTTTGTGGTAACCTTTGCTTTCTTCAGGGATGGTATTCTTTATTTTTTTTTATTAATTTTTTTCTTTTTCTTAAAGGGATGATATTCTTGATGTCACCCCATAATTCACCTGGTCTTCAATCGTTAGTGTTCAATGCTTCAAACCTATTCTTGAGATGGTTTTTAAATCAGGTAGGATAGATTCAAAGTCATATTTTGGTTTTTGTGGACTTGTTTTCATTTTCTTCGGCTTCAATTTGAACTTGCATGTGAGTAATTGATGGTCTGTTCCACAATCATCACATGGCCTGGTTTTGACTGCTGACAATGAGATTCTCCAACAATTCTTTCTGATTTCTATGCAGTCCATCAGATAAGGTCCGTGTATATTTTAATTATTTTTACAATGAATAAACCACTGACTGTAGAAGAAGATTTAATATTTTAAGAACTACCTTCCCTCTGTAACTTGATTTGTGCCACTGTTAGAACCTCTACTTGGAATATTATTGCTTTTAATTTTTGACTGATGTACTTTTAACTTGTTAGTTAAATTTGTGTCTTCTAGGCTGCAACAGTTCCATGATACATCTTCAGGGATATGAACATGTATGGCTAAGCCCAACTGATAACAGTGCATCTAAATTCCAAAATTAATCTCCACAATAGTCTACGTGTTTCCTATTGCCAAAGGGGCCCTTTAGAGTAATGAGAGAAAATGTTCACCCTGAAACCTACAGCGCCCCTATTCAGCAGGAAGTAGCTAAGAGAATACACTGTCCCCTTATGAATCAGGGTGAAGTCTCTCCCAGGGAGGAGTGATAGAGAAGGGCAAAGGATACACTGACAAAGGAGATTAATCAGAACTGGCTTTGACAAGCACTGTGGCAACTGGACAATTAAAACAGACTTTCAAGGGGGGAAAAAAAGAGGAATGAACTGAGGGGGTAGAGAAAATAGTGCAACAATGAATGAATGGAAATC